AGAGGGAGAGTGCTGGCCGGGGTTTTCGTTGATCGAGGCGTGCTGCTGGCAGGCGGGGGGTGGGGGTTCTTGGTCTGTTTCCACTTGTGTCTCCAGACATCTGGTATGAAATTCTTTCACTGCCTCTGCTACTGTGGTATCGAAGTGCTCCGGGCAGATAGATCTGCCGCTTCGTACCACGGGTTCCCCGTCTGCTAACATGGGGGATAGCGACTTTGTAAAACGCTACAGAACCATATTTTAATATCTTGAATTAAATTGTCGTTTGTAGGAGACGTATTGCATTGACAAACTCAGTTGAGAGTTAAGGCTTGGGTTTGGTCGTATTTCTGGTCTTAGCATAACAATTCTTTTCATGATTCATCTTGTCACTGCGTGAGCGTCCATCTTATCTGCACAAGAATGGGAATCACCGTGGTGCCTGTCTCTCTTTTTGAAGCTCAGTGTGATTCTGCTGACATTTCTCAGGTACTGAAAGGAACAGTAAGGAGCAGGCACACCTGGGTTGCCTACATTTGAGTTGTGTGGGGTAGGGAAGTATTTGCCGTCGCGCTGTACCAGCAGAATGGCATTAGTACACACAGAAACACGAATTTGCAGTTGCTCTTCTGCCCAAACTCTGTGTGCACACTGAGGGTGGTCCGAGAGAGCTGAGGAGCAGAGCATCCTGCTCTGTTTGGAAGGGGGAGCCCGGCACAAGCTGGGCTGCGGCAGGGTAGTTCGTGCGACCCAAACGCACAGCCCCGTTCCTCTCTCTTGTCAGCTCTTAGGGTGCACGTACACACATGCACGTGTGTGTGGGTGTACCTGTACTTATGAATAGTGCTCTGGGGAAAGGGAAGAGAGGCTGAAAGTGAACATCTCTTGAAACGGCCTGCATCTGGGCATTTTGCTGGTACTGTTCTAACGCAGCTGCAGCCAGTTTCATACAATAGAACCACTTTGTAGAAAAGCAATCCAAGCTAACGAGCATCACTGCAAGCTTTAACGGTGGGTACATACCTGTGTCCCAGCTGAGAACAGCACAGTGGCCGAGAGTGAGATTTTTGAGGGGACCTAAGGAAATTAGAATTTCAATACTTCTTGAGTCTTCTGCTTAATGCGGAGATGAACCTTGTATTCTGTCCTAGCTGTTTCAGGTGGGCCTATAGAAATGCTGATAGAACATTCTTCTCTAACCCTGATGCATACCTCTTCTGACCTTTCTGCCTACCTTGCTGACATCTCTACAGATTAGCAGGACACCTTCAGGTATAATTTCATCCTTCAACCCCGCAGGAGACGTTTGTGTGGGAGCAAGAGGCAGGAATAGCAAATAGCCAGCGCGTAGCGTGCAAGGCATTGACGGCGCGGCGATCGGAGTGAGCCCAGCTGTCCAGCAGCTTGTCTGACCCCGCTGTCAGGCTCTCCGACGCTTTGCAGGGATGTTTCTGAGACTACACTGCAGAGGTTTGATTTGTGTGGTGAGTTTTGTGCCTTGGCTAAGGAAGCTGCTGCAGCAAGACTTAACTGAGCTGCTATCCAGTAGATCCAGAGGCTGTGAACCAAGCCCAGCTGCTGGGAAGTTCTGTTACCTTCTTTTTCAGTGCTACTAAACTAATATGAAAGCACTGGGAGTTGGCCTCATTGCTTTAAAGGATGGGTGCAGAACCAGTCACCTTTTCGCAGAATCACACAGAATCAAAGCATGGTCGGCGTTGGCAGGGCCCTCTGTGGGTCACCCAGCCCAACCCCCTGCCCAAGCAGGGTCACCCAGAGCAGGCTGCACAGCACCGCGTCCAGGTGGGTCTGGAATATCTCCAGAGAAGGAGACTCCACAGCCTCCCTGGGCAGCCTGGGCCAGGGCTCC